CGCACCGCCGCCCCGGCCAGGCGCAGTCCTGCAGCTTCGTGGCGTGGGACAACTGCTGGTAACGGCCCCAGAGCTGCCCTCGCAGCCGACAGCCCCGAGACGCCTCCTTTCCCTCCCGCCCGAGGCAGCCGCCCCGCCCACTCTCAGGCGGGCCGAGGCTGAAGGGATTTGTTCATACACTCACTTCGCGTGCGTCTGTAAAGTGTGGGTGCTCATTCGGGGGCGTGCCAGCTGCAAAAAGCCCAGGGCTTTCAGTAGCCTCAAGTGGCGATGCCCAGAGGCGAAGCGCCGAGCGCCAGGGCCCTCAGAGCCCATGTGCTCCCGTGTTCCCCATCATCCTCCCGCGGGGGGTGCGGGATAACGGGGAGTAGGGCCGGGGCAGAGCTGGGGACAAAGGGTCGTTTGATCTGTCAATAGTAAATGAAAGTATGTCTGAAAGGACATCGATGCTTCCTTTTCAAGTTTTTCAAAAAATCCGTCGTAGAAAAATTTACCTCCTCCAATTCCTAACACAAACATAGTTTGCAAGGAAGTGCATTCACGCCTAGTGTTTCATTTCCAACCTATTGAAAATATTTCCCCATTACTTCAGAGTCAGACAATTGTTAACTCATATATAAACTTGTTTTGAAGTACAGATCTAAAGATTCGTGCTAAAGTGCTGTGCTTTGTGACATTAGTAGTTGGGTTTGCATGTTGGGGGTTTTTTTTAATGAAAGCTTTCAAAATCATCTTAAATATGTTTCTGTTTCAGGAAAAAACACATTGAAAGTGAACGAGAAGCTGCAAGAAGATGGTCTCACAAATGGGGATTCTTGAAAACTCCTCCTAAGGAGGTAAAATTAAACTGCATATAAGCAACACATGAAATTTACCTGTACACTAATTTATCTGGACACCAAATTATGAGAGCACAGAGGACTAGAAAAGTATGCTTTACTAAGCTAGGTTCTGAGGTAACAAGTGCACTACTTTTAAGATGGGTTCAAAGTTTCAGTTCTCTGAATAAAATATAGCAAGTGATCATTTACATGCTATGCGTATTCTGATATATTGCTCTTGAGAAACATGAGTCCCAGTAGTGTTAGCAAGTACTAGATGCACACTGACAGGAAAATATTTCCCCTTTGTCTATCCATATGGTAGTTTAAAAATCTAGGGGAAGAGGTTCTAGCTAATTAAATTTTCAGTGGGGGAATTTACAAATGAAAATATTTGGAGACATGTCTATTCTCAGTGATGTTTAGATATCAGAACATAGTAGCACATAATATTACATTTGGAATTACAGTATTTCGTTGCTGAAGAACAGGATTGATGCAGCCCTTGAATAGTTATATTACTTTTCATGGGGCTAGAAGTACTTAATCTGTTCTAGGATTTTTTGAAAACTACTGCAGGCATCCAAGTTAGCACTTTTGAATACTCTGGTCCTCTGGGCTTCAACATCCATCTTTGATAACTATGGTCTGTCATTCATACCAGCTTTGCACAGTATTAATAGATCTAAGCTGAAAAGTTGTCAAACTATGCATTGTTACTATTGGTGAACATGTGTATTTACTATTTATTAATCTTTGTTTTGTGGTCATATAATATACATGTAAGAAACATTTCTATCCCTTTTTAGACCAGTGATGTAGTTAACAGAGTTGGAATCATTCAGCAATATTTAGCCTTTCATCTAAGAATTGCATCGCTTCCTGAAACCAAAGAATACATTACAGTAATTTCCAAAGCACTACAATAAATAGTCCTGTTTTAGATGGACAGAACAGTGAGTTCAGAGGCAACATTGAGGGGAATGGTGTAGATATCAGATATTACAGCATATTTCAAAAGATAAAGAGTCCAATTTTTAATGTTGATGTTTTGGTTTTAGTTGATTGAAGATGAAAAGAAAGAAAATACAAAGCCCAAGATACAACTTCCAGAACATCTGCAGGTTCGACCTGTGACACCCATGGAAAAATACATTAAGGTTAGAAAATTAGATTTTAAAATTGCAATACAGCAATATCTGTCTTAAGAAACCACACAAGCACTAAAAATCACTTGTCTCGTAGAGGTGGGCCTTTAACTAAAGGTCAAAGTAAATTGTATTTGCAACCCGAGCGATGCTTTAAAAGCATTCATTTAAGACAAGGATTGCCCTTTGGATATGGTTGTTAGTTCACAGAGCTTTCACTGTACATAATCATCTTTCTGTAAAGCACCTCCCCCACGCACTCCTCTGTGACATCTAGTAACAGAACAGTCAACTGTACGGTTTAGTACAGAAGAGTGCTCACAGAGCCATTTATGACTGCTCAGCATTCATTCAAATGTACATATACATGTCTTATTTCAAGGCTTGTCATAAACTTAATTCTCCGTTTTAACTATTGGTTAAGATGCAGTAATTTTTCTAGCTTTATTTAAGACAGTCTTCTTTTGGCAGAGACAATGCCACTGTCTTCTTTAGTGGCACAAATTAGTAAGAAGCCAGTTCTAACGAGCCAATCCATAACTATTTGATTTTATATTATATGATTTATATTCACATATTCAGAGTCTAAAAGTTGTCAAACAGCTGGAAATGAGAGTGGAATGTGACTGATGGTTTGATTTATAAATATACAGTGTCAGAATCACCAATGAATAGGATAACTATACAGGCAGCTAAATCAAGGGCATTAGGAGAGGAACATATTCATAAAAAGGGGAAGCAGGATATGCTCTCAGAAAGGGAGGTTAGTGCACTTAGAGAAGATTAAAGAAACAAAAAAGATTGGAAATTCCTACTTGCTGAACTAGCTTTCTTTCAAAGGATTCCAAGAGTGGGGAGAGAAGGTGAGGAAGTAGTAAAAGCTTTTACTGAGATTAAATTGAAACAAAAATTAAGAGCTGCTGCTCAGTGTGGCAGACAAATGAAATGGGAGCATTTCTGCCATTAGTGCTACTTGTTCTTCAATTTTGTCTCAGACCTCCAATTTCAGTCAAGTTTACCTCTGCTTCAGCACAGTGAGGGTGTATGTGTGTTAACAAATCACACAGATAGTTACCAGCTGCTAAAGTAGCATGCATAGCCTGGTGCATACTGAGACAGGGATTGTACTTTCCATTTCACCTCAGAATCTTTATTTGCTAAGAAGGAGAAGGATTAGCTGTGATTTAGGTCAGCCTTTACCCATTTAGAGTGAAGTTTCTTAAGTCCTTATTCACAACTATGTGTCTTTCTGCACATTTACCTTCATGGTAACAGTCATCATATCTGTTCTTCTCTCTAGGTTAGATTAATAATTGCTTCTTCATATTCCCTTCCCACAGATCATAAGTGGGACATGATTTCCTTCATTATCCTGCTCAGTGGGTGGCACTTTTGGCCATAAAAATTATCTTTTCAGAGGAACTGCTCCACCTAAATATCATAAACATTTTCTAATCTTGGCCGAAGAACAAAGCGAAGCAACTCTGGCAAGAGAACTGAAACATTGTTCTCTTACTGTGTATTTCTCTACTAAGTCCCCAGATGCTAAAATGATATAACGTGCCCAATTGAGATGATTCAGCCAAAGTAAGCACAGCAGTCAGTGAACAGAGACTGTTGACTTTTGTTTTGTTTCCTTTTTAGATAGATTAGTCGCAGATTAACTTGATGCTTACCCATCTTTTAAAGTAGAAAGAAGGTGGAATGAATAAGTAGTTTTTGATTCAAAAGCCAGCCTGGTCAGTAATACCTTTAGCATTTGGCTACAAAACTATTATTCTGTGGCTGCATTGCTACCAAATGCATTACAGCAAGTATCAAATGCTGTCTGTCCTGTTTAACGAAGTTAACTAGTTTTAAAGATTATTATTATTCTGTAAGGAAAAGAGTTAAAGCTGAAGAAAAAAATCCTCTACCAAAAATGTAAAGCCAGTAAAGCCCTTAGAAAGATATCAATCAAATTTTTTTAAAAAACCCAAACAACAGTATGCTAACATACACTACTAAACAATAACTTTGCTTATTGATGTCCTGTTTACATACCAATTTAGGCACTGAAAGACTGGATTTTTTTAGAAAGACGGTAAAATGGAAGTTAGTTACTTCATCAGAATTTTGCCATTTTATCTTTCCCTGTGCCTTGCTATAGAATGGCACCTAACTTATTCTATCAACTTTTTAAATTATGAGTTATTCTGTATTATAAATCAAACTTGCAGGCAATTGGGCTATCTTTTGAAGTTCTTCTTTCCTTTCATTAATATCAATATGTGTTCAGGACATTAATTCAGTAGATTGTATTGAAAACCAATAATTTTTATCAGTTTTCATTTCCATCCACACTACAGAACAAAAGACGATGTAACATGGCAGAAATTACAATCAAAACCCTTTTAATCATTGAATTCTACACACTACTTTTATTCTAGGTGACTCCATCTCCCCCAGTACCTAAGACTACCCAGGGATTTATTGGCTGGAGATCAGCAGTTCCAGGGTTGGAACTTGAACATGGTTTTCAAATCCAAAGCTGCAAAGGTACCTTTTTTAAGGATTTGAAGTGGCCATGTGAGCCCTCTGACTGACATTAAAACATAATAGTTAAGCACACAGATCCATTTGTATCCCTAAGTTAACACTCTGTAGTGGACTGTTGGACTGTTAGACTGTTAAACATTTATGCTTTAAAAACAATTGATGTAAACATCCACAATCATTTTGTTAAAGTGCAAACATTTCAGTGTAGCATTTTACTTGTTACTGATTTTTGGAAATCTGTGGCATCCAAGCTGTTACCACTGCTTCAGGTTTACTTAGAAGTAATGATGAATAAACTCATATAAAGATCACAGAGTAGGTATTACTTTTATTAGCATTACTAAGACTATGATTTTAAAATATGTATTGGAAGTCTTAAAAAAACTGTCATTTTGTAATGACAGAGCACATTTTTATAATTGTTTCTTTATGAAAGCCTCATTCAGACAGTTTCACAGCAGCTTTTTCAAACATAAATACAGACTGCCATGTTCCTGGCAATCCTGCTCTGCTGCTCATTCCCAATTCATCATTTAGGAGTACTGGAATCTGTGTGTAGAATTAGTTTTCAATCATCACTCTGCACTGGCTCACTACTGAGTTGCTCAAGTGCCTCTGCGAGCACAAAACCGTCTCTTTTGTACAGAAAAGAGACAGAGAAGAGTAGCAGGCGTGACTTACATTGGCTCAAGCTGCCATGGAACTGCTTCCTTGCATTTGGAAAGAAGTTTTCCTTGTTAAAAAACAAAACACAACAAACAAACAATACCTGCAGAAAATATAATTACCAGGCTTCATCACAGTGTGTTCACTGCAGTTTGACAAAAACAGGCAAATCATAAGTATAATTAAGTCATAATTATTAAAGGCATTGTCTTTTGTGTTGTGCATGCTTTACAGGTAGTTTGTGTAGTTACACACATTAAGTAAGTGAGTAGTTTCCAGTGCAGCTGCTCGATTGGTATAAATAAAGTATACAAAGCCTACAGTGACACAAAAGTGACTTTCAAAGATCAGTTTTGGTATCAAAACATGTGGTTTTTTTCAATTAGTTGATCAGAATGCAAATGTGTTACAAAGTGTTTATGCTGCTTCAGTTTTGTTTATACCTATATTTATACCAACCAGGACTGGTGAAAGAAACAGTAGGGGATTGCGCTGGGAGGTAGTGGTGTAGCTACCTCAGTGCTATGGAGTTCAGTCTTGCACTTCATTATCTACCAGATTTGCCAGGACTTTTGGAAACTCAGGACACTCATTTAGTTGTACTATTTGCAGGATACAGTTCTCACTGGCTAACATGTTTAAACTAGAAAGTTGTTTAAACAAATAACAGTCTCCAAGAAATCAACACAGGCAGCTCCTTGTAACTCTTAAAGAGGAAAGACTTTCCTCTTTAGTCCTGATGCAAGATCTCCTTTTTATTCTGCAGCTATCAATATCTACTTCTTGAGTCAGCAGTAAATCCTTGGCTTTCATAGCAGTAGGTCAGCAGCTAGTGTTTGTTCTTCCTTTCTTCCCAAGAAATGACTCACAATGATCAACATCCCACCTATTTTTTTTAACATCTAGTTCCAAATGCCCACAAAATAATAATATTTTACTTTTTCCATATTCTTTACAAATAAAGGAGAAATGACTCATATCCTCTGGAAAGATTATCCAAGAATGAGAATACACAGCAGAAGTAACTTCAGACATGTTACTTAAAAAACAGAATAAAGAATAACTTTGATTCAGACTCTGGAAATTTAAGCTAAATTGCAGTTTAGCTACCAACTATAATATGTGTAAACTGCTTTTTGAACAAACTAGATAATTGTAAGAACAATATTTTAAATCAGTGTGCTTTCTTGTCATTGCTAGGTCTGTACCTCTTCTAATCACATGGTTATTTTAAGGTCACGTATAGATCCTCTTGTTCTGATTTATATAAAAAGGTAAAGATTAATATGTAATTTACTAGCAACAAAATTACATTAATTCAGGTCAAATGAAAGGGGAGCTTCAAGACCACTGGTTTTTAAAAAATGTTATATTATAGAACCAAAGCTGGCACCTAATAACCAGTAGATGTTTGTATGAAGTAAAATCCAAATCCATATGAGTCATGGTTTGATTCTGAAAACCAAAAGAAATTAATTTGTCCAGCATCTACAGTTGGACATTTCTGAATCTTATTTACAATGTCTGAATATTAACTCTGTACTAACAGTAAGGGGTTTTTATCATACTTCCCATCATTTAAGGTACCTTTATTCAGGAGACACTTTGATATAACCTAATTTGGGACGTGTAAGGAGTATGTCTAAAATCTGAACTCATAGCTCTAACATAAATCTGTCAGTTGTTAATTGATCCATGTATTTGGGATTCTGGTGTTCAAGAATATGTGAAACTATAAACCTGACTATTTCTTTTCCCAACAATTTTAGTTTCACCCTTTATACCTGAAAAAATTGTGTAGAAGTTGTGGATTTGCAGCTGACAAAGGATTGCCCAGTCAACTGCCCCAGTTCTGAATTCAAAAGGCCAATACAGAATTATTAAATCACCTTGTAATTTTTCAAACCTGGCATTTAATTTACGGAAATTAACCTATTTATTGGAGCCAAGTTGGGCACATAAATGTCACTGCACACCATAAAATATCACACGATCTCCAAGGTCAGGACAGTCTTAGTAAACTCAGTGCACACACTGGGGAAATGCTTCAAAACAAAATTAAATCACTTCAAAAATGCAGCAGAAGTCAGGACAATTTTAATTCTATATAAAAGTCTTAGACTTGGGCTTCTGTGCAAGTCAGAGCAGAGTGTTTTTTTTCTAAACACATATAAAAATTATGTAGTTTATTTTTAACCAAAATTTGAAAATGATGCAAGTATATTTAGATGTCTTCTATGCATCAATCTAAATTTGATTTTGTATAGTCATTCATAAAGTTTTTGGTGGTCTAAGGTTCACATTAGCAAAATGGTGTGTGTATCAATTCCTCCTTAGTTGACTCAAATTTTTCTGAAAAGTGAAGCCATCTTGTCTTTTAACTGTTGTTTTCAGATAAACTAGTTCTTTGGTAACAGGCTCATTTTAAAGAGGAACTGTGGATGATGCTTTAAGAATTGCATTGGCAAAAATCTTACTGTATTTGATACATAGTCACCACAGCAAGTCATGAGAGTGCTTCAGCCCATACATCTTTTGCCACCTTTTTGGATGTGTGCCTGAATATACTTTCCTGAGCATGTGAAGAAATAATAGTAGAGCCTTAAATGACAGTTGTATTTAAGTTGAAGAACTATGAAATCAGAATTATCTTTCTCACAAGCACTTGCTTTATAAACAACAGAATTTGGCGACAAAAACCTGGTGCGTTTTCCTTCACAATGTGTTCTTTTCTGTGCTGCTAGAACTGGCATAGAATTGGCACTTGCTATTTATAATTTCATTAATATATTTTACTGGGAGCTAAGAGCTGAAAGATTGTTATTTATTTAAAATGCATTTTGCACCACAGAATAAAGATTTTTGATTAGATGATAGTGAAACAGTGATTCTGAATAAGTAGCACTACTCAAATAGCAGTCACCACACAAGTGTTGCTGTACATTTTGAAAGAAGCCAGATGAAAAGCAACCACAGCATGGGCATAGCCAGTTGATCTAGCTACTGTAAAAGGTGTCTGCTTAGAGAATAAATCTAATCGCTATTCTGCATGAGACATTTCTACAAAGTTATGTGCTGTGACTAACCTAATGGATACCCACTGCGGTCATAAGTTTGTGCAATAATTACTGTCTCCAGTTCCTACTATTGGCTACTCTGTCAGCCTGAAGTAACTTTAATTCTGAGATCATTTGCCTTACAGAACAGAGAAGGTAGATTTTCTTTTTTCTGTTCAGAGACCTAAGGCTCCCCATTCACACACCTCATTTCCTCATTACTGAAGGGTTCCTTGTGGTTCCTTCCACAGTCTACAAAGTATTGAAGTGACAAACACTAGTCTAACATAGTCATTGGCAACCAGACCAGAAATCTCCCACGTGAAGCCCAAGCCAGGTCACTTCTTGCATTAGATTCCTAAATGTGTTGTATTTAGTTCCCCTTGAAACCATAAGTGTCAGTGTAGCGTGACAGATAAGGCCCACTCACAGACTATTACCTTTTTCCTGACTGCTGTGGTTTTCACATCCCATCAGATTGCTATTTAACTAGTTGAAAACATGTCAAACCGTTTCATAGGACCATAGTGTAATAAATCTAACTGTACTGGGAAATGATACCCTTGTGCTGTGAAACCGATTGGGTTGCCAGGGAACAAAGCATTGCCCCTTCAGTCTGCTCTGTCATACATGGAAAAGACCAGCAGTATTGAGAAATAAATTTGAAACAAACCCAGAAACTTCATGAAAACAACACAAATCTAATTAATGTTGCACCAGTGAAACAAACACTGGAAAGGGTCATTATTTTTGTCAGATGAATTGGAAATAATTTTGACCTTTGGGTTTCAGGCTGCTCACACGTCTCAAGAGTTGCTCTATTACATGGAGAAGAGTTCAAAGAAATTAAAAGAATGCTCTTTCCTGTATGCCTCAGTGGTGGATTTATTTCCTTAAGGGTTTCCAACTGGAAATTCTCTGATATAACCTGAAGAGTACCACAGGGCAGCTATTCATCTCAGTGAGAAAGAGGTAGTGTTGCCACCTTTGAAGTAAGACACAGGTATCAGTCTGAGCACTGGGTTTTACAGGCTCTGACAGTAGGAAATGTCCAAAGCCATCCCAGGATGGTGGTAAGCCACTGGACATCTAGCACAAGGCTTGCAGAGAAACTGGAGGTTGTGTTCATGAAGAGTGTTCTGAAGCATCTGCATTTTCCTCTGCACCATCCACGAACTGCCATGGCTTCAGATGGCCACCATGCAACGCTTACGGACAGCACCTCAGCATTTAGGGAGACAGTTCACCAGATAGATGGACAGAGAAGGGTGGGATCGGGTCAGGCCGTCTCATAAGTATAAATGTAAACATAGCAGGTTAATTTAATTCCTTATCATTTAAGCAAACGCAGCTGTATTTACTATAACATGCAAAGTTCTAGCTGGACACATGAGGCAATGTATTCAGAACATCATTATATCTGATCCCCAGTGTAAAATTTTTCCAGCCTTTAATGCTTTAGTTATTCTTAAATCAGTACATTGATCTCAAAAGTAACATTACATAGCCTTAGTAAACCTTCTAAAAGTACAAAAAAT